CGCCCTCTCGGCCACCCAAGCAGGTGGATAGGTGAGGAGACGCGCAGAACGGCGGCCGCGAGGCAGCCGGCGCGGTGCTCCCTCGGCGCGGTTCGCCGGAGCAGACTTGTGCTTACGGTTTGAGCCGCGGCCCGGTAGGTTGACTGAGCGGCTGGTGCGTGTGAGGCGGTGCTGGGCGGGGTTGGGTCGCCACTGCGCGATCCGGCCCCAGTCTCGGTTACGTAGACGCCTAGTCAGCACGTGCCGCCGCGGGGACTCACCCTCCCCCGACGCAAAAGCTCCCTCGCTGTGCCCCTCCGGACCGGATGGGGCCGCCTGGGTAGCGGCTGTGTGTGAGAAGCAGATGGTTTCCCGATGGGCAGACGCCTCGTGCGCCTCACCCCGCAGCGCGGCTGGCTCGCAGCTCGGAGGTCTCCTCTGGGCGCGGGTCGGCTGGCTGCACTGTCGGTGGCGGTGGCGCCTCGACTGGCCCCGCATAACAAGGCCCTGGCAGGCTCAGCGGTGCAGCCCTCCCCTTTCGGAGCGGCTCCCGCCCTGCTGTGGAGCTGCGGCGTGTCGGTTGTGATGCGCTTCTAGCCACCGAGCGGTCGTGCGAATCCTTGAGTGGAGGCGCGATGCGCGGCGCCCCGCAAGGCCGCCCGTACTGGGCCGGCTCGCGGCTTGGCGCTGCGCGAGGGCTGCGGCTCTGACTAGAGCTGCGCTCCGTAACATGATTACGACACGTGTCCTTGGCTTTGTTGGCCTTGGAGTGAGCACTGTCGGTCAGACTCTGGGCGGCCGCGCGCGGTGGTCTCTTGTCCCCTCCGGATACGGAGGGCTCTGACTCGGACCGCGCGCGCTGGCCTGCCTCTGTCTGGTCCGGGACTTCCGTTGTGGGAGGGGGTCTGGTCCCGACTGGGCTCCCTCCCCGCGGGTTGTCTGCGGGCTACCTGGTTGATCCTGCCAGTAGTCATATGCTTGTCTCAAAGATTAAGCCATGCATGTCTAAGTATAAGCGACTATACTGTGAAACTGCGAATGGCTCATTAAATCAGTTATGGTTTATTTGATGGTACCTTGCTACTTGGATAACCGTAGTAATTGTAGAGCTAATCATGCAGGAGTTCCCGACTCACGGAGGGATGTATTTATTAGATAAGAAACCAAACCGGTCTCCGGTTGCGTGGGAATTTCAAGCTAGAGGTGTCAGAAAAGTTACCACAGGGATAACTGGCTTGTGGCTGCCAAGCGTTCATAGCGACGTAGCTTTTTGATCCTTCGATGTCGGCTCTTCCTATCACTGCCTCGCAGCGGGGGCCAAATGCAGGATTGTTCACCCACCAACAGGGAACGTGAGCTGGGTTTAGACCGTCGTGAGACAGGTTAGTTTTACCCTACTGCTGTCTGTTTTTCTACGGTAATTTGGTTCAGTACGAGAGGAACCACCAATTCGCATCATCGGTATAGCCGCCGCCGGAAACGGCGATGCGGCGAAGCTGCCATGCGCCGGATTATAACTGAACGCCTCTAAGTTAGAATCCATGCCGGAAGGAAAGCCACCTACCGGCCCGGGGACGCCACGAGCAACGGTAGCACTGCCTGAGCCGCGAGCGACCACAATTCACGGACCCGGGCCGACGAATCCCTTGCAGACGACTTGAATAAGGAACGGGGTATTGTACGCGGCAGAGTGGCCTTGTTGCCACGATCCGCTGAGATTCAGCCTTGGTTCTGACGATTTGTTGCGCGCGCGCAACAACCCTCAGGGCCTCTCCCGTTCCTCAGTCTCTCTCCTGGCGCTCTCGCCCCCTCGCCTCTCCTCCGAGCCTCACTCGCTCGGGGGCGGAGCCGAGGGGGCGAGAGCGCGATTTCTGCCCAAGGCAGCACGCAGGCCACTGCGCAAACACACCCGGCTCTCCCCGAGCCGCCATTGGGCGCTCCCGCGGTCCCCTCCGGGCTGAATGCGGCCTCCGGAGCGGGCGGCGCGAGCGTCTAAGTCTACTCAGAGCCTTCCACGCTCTTCTTTGCGTTCCAAAGCACCTACTGCGCTCCTCTGTAGCATCGCCCGGCCAACTCGCTTGCCCACTGTCATTGCCCCCGCCGTCCTCTCACTGTGGCCGCCCTGTTCCTCCACCGCCCTCGCCACCACCCTCGCCACCGCCCTCCCTCGCCACCGCCCCCACGCCGCCGCTACCATTCCGGCCACCCTCGCCGCCCCCACCCTCATCCCCACCTTGCCCCCGCCGCCCGTTGCAGCTGCAATCCCCACCCGCCCTCCGACGCTAGCCCCCGCCCTCACCGCCGCCCTCACCGCCGCCCTCGCCGCCACCCTCGCCGCCACCCTCGCCTCCGCCTCCCGCCCCGCCGCCGCCGCCCTCCAGCATGCCGCCGCTCTCACCCTCTCCCCTCCAGCCGCCCCACCGCCCTAGCTGGCCGCCCCCCCTCGTCACCACCGTCACCTCCACCGCCCTCGCCGCCGGCCTGCCCCAAGGCAGTGCGCAGGCCACTACGCAGACACACCCGGCTCTCTCCGAGCCGCCACCGGGCGCTCCCGCGGTCCCCTCCGGGCTGAATGCGGCCTCCGGAGAGCGGGCGGCGCAAGCGTCCTACCCCCCTCAGAGCCTTCCATGCTCTTCTTTGCGTTTTCCGAAGCATGCACTGCACTCCTCTAGCATCACCCACAAGTCACCTCCGTTGCCACACTGTCCTTGGACCTCTTGCGCACTTGGCCGAGGCGTCGCCAGGCACGCACGCCGCTCCCTCCAACCCCGTGTCGGCCTGCCGCCGCCCTCGCCTCCAGCCGTCCCGCCACCCGTCCCGCCACCCTCACCGCCTCCAGCCGTCCCGCCACCCTCACCGCCACCGCCCTCCTCACCACCGTCTCCACCGCCGCTGCTCTCACCACCCTCGCCACCACACCATGCCCGCCTCCCTCGCTGCCACCCACGCCGCCGCCGCCGCCCCCACCCCCTCCGCTGCCCTCGCCCTTGCCGTCACCGCGCCGCGAGATCTCTTACACTATCCCCCGCCCTTGCCGCCGCCCTTGCCGCCGCCCTCGCCGCCGCCCTCGCCGCCGCCCTCGCCGCCGCCCTCGCCGCCGCCCTCGCCGCCGCCCTCGCCGCCGCCCTCGCCGCCGCCCTCGCCGCCGCCCTCGCCGCCGCCCTCGCCGCCGCCTCCCGCCTCGCCGCGCCGCCCTCACCCTCTGGCTACCTCGGCTTGCTGGCTGTCTCATCAGCCCTGGAATACTTGGTCGACGTCCGAGCTGCGCCCTTGGGGCCCTCCCATCGGTGCTACTGGCGCTCATTGCCCAGG